ATGGACACTACCAAAGATGTTGAGGGATCCTCTCTTCTAATTGAATTTTATTTTCCTAATTGCAACTCTTTTGTTGCTCCTTGATAATTTTTGCTTCCCGGACACCTTATTTTCGATTTGTACCTATAAGATACTAAATCCACCAATTAAAATAGAAATATCAATTAATCCAAAAAAAATCCACGCAATTGTTAATGTAGAGTGTTATTTCTACACTCCATTGTATCTAGTGTTTTTGCTGTTGTTTGGTTACGCGTAATAAAGTCCTAGTGTAGTAACGTTTTTAAGAACGTTGTTGCGAATGCACTTTTGCGTATGTTTTTCTACATGTACGTTTGTGCATGTCCATATGAGCGAGTGTGTTTGTGCATGTTTGTTGATTTGTATTAATGTCCTAGGATTGTAGTTTGTGTTTTCATGATCCTTTTTGCGATTGCACTTTTGCGTCAGTACTTTTGTGAATGTTTTAGTACTTTTACTTATGTGCGTATCTTTTTTAGCGAGTGTTTTGTGCATGTTTTTTAATGCGCATTCATGTCCTCGAACTGTAGTACGTATTTTTGTGATCGCTTTTGGAATCCAAATTTTGACCATGTTCGAGTCCGAATTTGGAAATTTGAGGAATTGTAGCCAGCTGAAATAGCTTCCTAATGCCGCCGCTGCCAGAACCAGTTGATTTGGTTTCCGGATGAGCAAGTTATGCTCGACTTCGTGGACACTACCAAAGATGTTGAAGCATCGACTCTTCTAATTTTATTTTATTTTCCCAATTGCAACTCTTTTGTTACTCTTTCATCATTTTGGCTTCTTTGACACCTTATTTTCGATTTGTAACTACAAGATACTATATCCAACAATTAAAACAGAAATATAAATTAATCCAAAAATAATCCCTGTAAACGTAAACGTAGAGTGTTATTTCTACACTCCACTGTATCTTTTGTATCTAGTGTTTTTTCTGTTATTTGGTTATGCGTATTAAAGTCCTAGTGTTGTAATGTTTTTAAGAACGTTGTTGCAAATGCACATTTGCGCATGTTTTTCTACGTGTACGTTTGAGCATGTCCATTTGAGCGAGTGTGTTTGTGCATGTTTGTTGACTTGTATTAATGTCCTAGGATTGTAGTTTGTGTTTTCATGATCCTTTTTGCGAATGCACTTTTGCGTGAGTACTTTTGTGCATGCTTTTGTAATTTTACTTATGTGCGTATCTTTTTTAGCGATTGTTTTTGTGCATGTTTCTTGATGCGCATTCATTTCCTCAAACTGTATTACGTATTTTCGTGATTGCTTTCGGAATCCAATTTTGACCATATTCGAGTCCGAATTTGGAAATTTGACGTTAGACAAGAATTGTAGCCAGCTGAATAGCTTTCTAATGCCGTCTGAACCAATTGATTTGGAGTCCGGATGAGAAAGTTATGCTCGACTTCGTGGACATTACCAAAGATGTGAGCAGATGCTCTCTTCTAATTTGATTTTATTTTCCTAATTGCAACTCTTTTCTTACTCTTTGATCATTTTTGCTTCATGGACACCTAATTTTTGATTTGTACCTAAAAGGTACTAAATCCACCAATCAAAACATAAATATAAATTAATCCGAAAAAATCGAAGTAAACGTAAACGTAGAGTGTTATTTCTACACTCTAGTGTATCTTTTGTATCTAGTGTTTTTGCTGTTCTTCGGTTATGCGTATTAAAGTCTAGTGTTGTAATGTTTTTAAGAACGTTGTTGCGAATGCATTTTTGCGTATGTTTTTCTACATGTACGTTTGTGCATGTCCATTTGAGCGAGTTATTTTACATATACGTTTGTGCATGTCCACATCAGCGATTGTGTTTGTGCATGTTTGTTGATTTGTATTAATTTCCTTGAATTGTAGTTTGTGTTTTCATGATCCTTTTTGCGAATGCACTTTTGCGCCCTTACTTTTGTGCATGCTTTTGTACTATTACTTATGTGCGTATCTTTTCTAGCGATTGTTTTTGTGAATGTTTCTTGATGCGAATTCATGACCTTGAACTGTAGTACGTATTATCGTTTTCGCTTTTGGAATCCAGTTTTGACCGTGTTCGAGTCCGGATTTGGAAATTTGAGGAATCGTAGCCAGCTGAAATAGCTTCCTAATGCCGCCGGAACCAGTTGATTTGGAGTCCGGATGAGAAAGTTATGCTCGACTTCGTGGACACTACCAAAGATGTTGAGGGATCGTCTCTTCTAATTTTATTTTATTTTCCTAATTGCATCTCTTTTCTTACTCTTTGATCATTATTGCTTCATGGACACCTAATTTTTTATTTGTTCTTATAAGATACTAAATCCACCAATTAAGACAGAAATGTAAATTAATCCAAAAAAATCCACGTAAATGTAAACGTAGAGTGTTATTTATACATTCCATTGTATCTAGTGTTTTTGTTGTTGTTTGGTTATGCGTATTAAAGTCCTCGTGTTGTAATGTTTTTAAGAACGTTGTCGAAAATGCACTTTTGCGTATGTTTTTCTATATGTACGTCTGTGCATGTCCATTTGAGCGAGTGTGTTTCTGCATGTTTGTTGATTTGTATTAATGTCCTAGGATTGTAGTTTGTGTTTTCATGATCCTTTTTGCGAATGCACTTTTGCGTCAATACTTTTGTCCATGCTTTTGTACTTTTCTTTATGTGCGTATCTTTTGTAGAGAGTGTTTTTGTGCATGTTTCTTGATGCGCATTCATGTCCTCGAACTATATTACGTATTTTCGTGATCGCTTTAGGAATTCAATTTTGACCATGTTTGAGTCCGAATTTGGAAATTTGAGGAATTGTAGCCAGCTGAAATAGCGTCCTAATGCCGCCAGAACCAGTTGATTTGGAGGCCGGATGGGAATGTTATGCTCGACTTCGTGGACACTAGCAAAGATGTTTCGAGATCCACTCTTCTAATTTTATTGTATTTTCCTAATTGCAAATCTTTTGTTACTCTTTGATAATTCTTGGTTCGTGGACCACTAATTTTCTATTTATACCTATAAGATACTAAATCCACCAATTAAAACAGAAATATAAATTCATCCAAAAAACATCCACGTAAACGTAAACGTAGAGTGTTATTTCTACACTCCACTGTATCTTTTGTATCTAGTGTTTTTGCTGTTGTTTGGTTATGCGTATTAAAGTCCTAGTGGTGTAATGTTTTTAAGAACGTTGTTTCGAATGCACTTTTGCGCATGTTTTTCTACATTTATGTTTGTGCATGTCCATTTGAGCGAGTGTGTTTGTGCATGTTTGTTTATTTGATTAATGTCCTAGGATTGTAGTTTGTGTTTTCGTGATCCTTTTTGCGAATGCACTTTTGCGTGAGTACTTTTGTGCATGATTTTTTACTTTTACTTATGTGCGTATCTTTTCTGGCGAGTATTTTTTTTCATGTTTCTTGATGCGCATTCTTGTCCTCGAACTGTAGGACGTATTTTCATGATCGCTTTTGGAATCCAATTTTGACCATGTTCGAGTCTGAAGTTGGAAATTTCACGTTAGATATGAATTGTAGCCAGCTGAAATAGCTTTCTAATGCCGCCGTAACCAGTTGATTTGGAGTCAAGATGACAAAGTTATGCTCGTATTCGTGGACACTACCAAAGATGTTGAGGGATCCTCTCTTATAATTTTATTTTATCTTCCTAATTGCAACTCTTTTATTACTCTTTGATAAGGTTTGCTTCATGGACATCTAATTTTCGTTTTGTACCTATAAGATACTAAATCTTCCAATTAAAATAGAAATATAAATTAATCCAAAACAAAAATCCACGTAAACGTAAACGTAGAGTGTTATTTCTACACTCCACTGTATCTTTTGTATCTAGTGTTTTTGCTTTTGTTTGGTTATGCGTATTAAAGTCCTAGTGTTTAATGTTTTTAAGAACGTTGTTGCGAATGCACTTTCCCGCATGTTTTTCTACATGTACGTTTGTGCATGTCCATTTGAGCAAGTGTGTTTGTTCATGTTTGTTGATTTTCATGATCCTTTTTGCGAATGCACTTTTGCGTGAGTACTTTTCTGCATGCTTTTGTACTTTTACTTATGTGCGTATGTTTTCTAGCGAGTCTTTTTGTGCATGTTTCTTGATGCGCATTCATGTCCTCAAACTGTAGTACGTATTTTCGTGATCGCTTTTGGAATCATATTTTGACCATGTTCGAGTCCGAATTTGGAAATTTGACGTTAGATAGGAATTGTAGCCAGCTGAAATAGCTTTATAATGTTGCCGGAACCAAATGATTTGGAGTCAAGATGAGAAAGTTATGCTCAACTTCGTGGACACTACCAAAGATGTTGAGGGATCCTCTCTTCTAATTTGATTTTATTTTCCTAATTGACACTCTTTTCTTATTCTTTTATCATTTTTGCTTCAAGGACACATAATTTTCCATTTGTATCTATAAGATACTAAATCCACCAATTAAAACATAAATATAAATTAATCCAAAAAAATTCCACGTAAACGTAAACGTAGAGTGTTATTTCCACACTCCACTATATCTTTTGTATCTGGTGTTTTTGTTGTTGTTTGGTGATGCGTATTAAAGTCCTAGTGTTGTAATGTTTTAAGAACGTTGTTGCGAATGCACTTCTGCGCATGTTTTTCTACATGTACGTTTGTGCATGTCCATTTGAGCTAGTGCGTTTGTGCATGTTTGTTGATTTGTGTTAATGTCCTAGGATTGTAGTTTGTGTTTTCATGATCCTTTTTTGCGAATGCACGTTTGCGTGAGTACTTTTGTGCATGCTTTTGTACTTTTACTTATGTGCGTATCTTTTCTAGCGAATGTTTTTGTGCATGTTTCTTGATGCGTATTCATTTCCTCGAACTGTAGTACGTATTTTCATGATCGCTTTTGGAATCCAATTTTGACCATGTTCGAGTCCGAATTTGTAAATTTGACGTTAGACATGAATTGTACCAGATTTGTAAATTTGCATGATCTGATAAACTGTTGTCATGAAATGTAGGGCGTATATTTCTGCTGCAAGAAAACTGTCTCCTTTTTTCCAACGGAGTTGGAGGAATACATAGCAAGTGCGTATTCTAGTATACGGCAGGAAGAGGCGAAATCAAATGCCCCTCACTCTTACACAACAGTCAGAACCCTACTTAGCATTCTTAGGATATCTGTTGTAAGTGCTTATATTAATTAATATCCTATTGACTATTATTCTTCTTTGATGGAGAAGCAATTGATTACTAATCGATATTAATCTTTTTCTGGCTTTGGCAAGACTCAGATTCTCCCACAGAAGACTTGGGGGTGTATATGTCAGGTAATGAGTTTGATCAAAACAAACAAAGAGAAGCAGGTAATGAGTTTGATGCTGTTGGCAGTTCAAAAACACAATTGACCAATCTGAACAGCAGAATTGAGGGGCTTGAATCTGAGAAAAGATATGAAGCAGAATCTGCAAACTTTGATTGATTCGACCCTAAAAGAAGAGCAGAAGCCGAATGATGTTGATACAGACTTTGAAGATCAACAAGAAACAATGCGGGACATTGAAACAAAAAAAACATGTGGTGTGCACAAAACGACGCGCTCAAAACTGAATCAAACTGAAAAGAAGAATTGTAAATCAGCTGTTGCAACAGGACACTGGGAAAACGTAAAGAGCCTGCACTCAACAACAACCAACTAGAGCCGGTCAAGAAAAAAAGCACAAGGTATTCAGGTTGATGAATAAAAGGTTCGAGCTATCCAAGTCCGACGAGTGTAGCGAATGTTCGATGTTTTCATGGCCTTGCTGGTTTCTATAGGAGGTTCGTGAAGGATTTTAACACTATTACAGACCAATGACCGAGGTGATAAGGAATAATGTGGTGTTCAAGTGGGGGGACGAGCAAGAGAAAGCATTTCAATTAATTAAGGAGAAGTTAACCAAAGCTCCATTACTTGCTCTACCAAATTTCGCGAAAACATTCGAGATCGAGTGCGATGCTTCCGGAGTAGGCCTAGGCGCTGTTTTGATGCAAGAGGGTGACCTATTGCATATTTTAGTGAGGAGTTTAGTGGGGCAGCCTTAAACTACCCGACTTATGATAAGGAGTTGTATGCCTTGGTTCGAGCTTTAGAGACATGGCAGCATTATCTTTGGCCTAAGGAGTTTGTGATTCACACGGATCGTGAATCGTTGAAGCACTTGAAGGGACAACACAAGATGAACAAGAGACATGCCTGATGGATGGAATTCATTGAGTCATTTCCTTATGTCATCAAATACAAGCAAGGTACAGAGTGACGTGGACGAGTCACTTAGGTTAACGCAAATGTCCAAGTTCTCACTGTACTCTGACGACCGTCACAAGTCTGGTCTCAACACAATTTCTGATATTTATTCTATCCTACGCGACGAAGCTGCAAGATCCAACAAGGTGGATGTCACCTATGCCAATGCCCTGAACTGGATTTCGAGAAAGGTACAAAACGACAAATAAATTATATTTAAATCAACTTTGAAAAAGTTGTTCAAGTTTGCTAATAATATGGTGATCGATGTATTGCTTTAATTGGCTGGATATCTAATCATCGAGCGAATGTTGTTGTTAACAGGGATATAGTGAAGCCCAGCTGAAAGAGTGCTTCAAGGAATACGCAGCCTTAAACGTGTGGCAGATCCATCCAAATACGTTTGACATCCGTTTCATCGATGCTTAAGACCAAGTTTAACATTGGGACTGTTAGAATGTCGAATGTGACAACTTAAGTGTTGAATGTAACAACTTAAGTGTTGAATGTGACAACTTAAGTGTCGAATGTGACAACTTAAGTGTCGAATGTGACAACTTAAGTGTCGAATGTAACATTCTGATTCTTGCCGTTGCTTCGACTCCATTCATCACCGGCATCTGCCAAAATAATACACATATCGATAATATACAATAAAATGTCGAAGAAATTAGGATTGCAAAGAAAAGATCGGGGCGTTTTATTTGACCTCACAGTTCATTAGTATACAATCGAAAGGGAGTAAAGTCTTCGAAGCTCCAACATGCTTTCCTTCGTCTAGACTCTTGCAGACTAGTTTCCAAGCTTCTTCTCCGTTTTCACACGATAATAAACTTGCACCAACCTGCACACCCACGAAAGTAGCAATCTTTCGACCGATCGGATCATCGTCCGCCACGAGTACTTTCCTCCCCAACAACGACTTCTGTTTGCTGTTTGCCCCTCAAACTTCCTCAATCTCACACTTTGATCCCTTCACAGAACTCTTAGTTGCCCCCCCATCCGAACTAGCAACATCATTTCCACGTCGAATGTTTTCAACACTGTGTGAAGCTTCTCCCCTTCTTGGGGGCGGCAGCCCCCCAAATTCAGGTAAAAGCCCAATAGTCTGATACAAGCGGGACCCGTCAAGCGGCATCGAAATGACTATATCCAACGGTGGCAGATTATCCTCATCAAGCCCTTGTAAACTATCAAGCCAAACAACTCTACTGCAACAGTTTTCACTCAAGTCCCTTCTAAATTCAGCCACAACCCTACTTATCTACCTAAACGGGCCCACACTCATGTCGATCACAATCAAAACAAAGCCCGAATAACCGGCACGAGGATTAGGTAAAACGTCGTCCGTTCCTTCTAGAGAACTCAAGGGGAACTCTTTTTTCGAACGTGCACTAGAAGTAGTGGATTTTCCCGAAGAGCTATAGTAGGATAAATTCAGCTTCCGCTTGATCCTCTTCAAAGACGGAGAGAGTTGTTCGTACTGCTTCACAACGTGTACTTTAATCCCGATTATGTGCATGAAACCTTGCAAGAGAGTGCTTCTTTCGGGACTATCAATCAAGAGCAGGACTTGTGAGCCTTCATTTTTCAGGCTGTGGGTACGTAAACTAGTACCCGAGTGGCGAAATGAGTTATGGCTAATAGACTCGATATCAGCACTCGGAGAAGAATTATTATCCGTTTCGAAAAACGCGTTGAACCGGAAACAAATCCCTCTCTCGCCCGCTTCTTTATCCACTATTCCTCTCTCCCCGCCCATTAAACGAACCTACACATCACCATCATCAATCAAGAAAAAGCAAAAAAACAAAAAAGGAAAAAAAAAAAATCAGTTATTACAGTTTGTTTTACGAGAGATTGAACAATGCCTAGCCCAAAACCAATGCCTTCTTGACCGAGTGCAGTTTCTTTGACTTGTAAGTAGTTTTCAAAAACCGATTTTTGCTTCTCTTTCGGAATCCCTTTTCCCGTATCGTTCTCCTCAAAAACAAACTCCACGCGGTTATTTGTTTCCCTTTGAGTAGCTTCCGATTCACTATACGCTCTTTGGATCTTGAACAAGCACAAAAGACACCTTATCGAGTTGCTTATGTTCGAAGTAATAATCCCGCTCTCAAGACTCGGTTTTTTAGCCCAAACTCGAACCACCACATGCCCGTTCGACGTAAACTTCACAGCATTGCTCAACAAGTTGCTCAAAATCTGTTTCAGCTTCCCTGTATCACCTCTCATACGAGAAAATTTCGTGACCGAGCCATCGAACGGGTCCAAAATTACGTCCACGCCCTTCTTCGTACCCACAGGGTGGTACAAATCAACCACATCTTCCATTAGTTTCTCCTAGTCGAACTCATCCTCATCGAGCTGCATTTTCCCTACCTCTATCTTACTCGTATCGAGAATCGAGTTCAAGATTCCCAAAAGATCCCTCGTGCAAGATTCCATTTGCAGTTGATTCGCAGGTATTTCCGATCTAAGTGGGTCCCGCTTCGAAACCTCGTTCCGGCATATTTCTATCAGGCCGTTTATCCCTGCTAAATAAGCACGTATGTCATGGCTTGCGCTTGCAAAGGCTAAGCTCTTGTTCATGCTCTTTCGCTCCGATTGTTGAGTTGCTTCCATTTGGCTTATGAGGGCCCCACATAGATGCATCTCTCTTCACGCAGCTTTGACAATTAGATACACGAATGTCAAGATCGTAATAACCACAACGCCAATCATTAGCATTAACAGAACGAATGCCAGTTTTATGTTCTTGTGTACTGAGCTCCAAAGTCCCTCGTGTGGCATCGCCAATGCATACACCTTTACAAAAATCGGAAAAACAAATTATTAAAAAATAAATCAAGAATCTCTTTTTTTTTGGTTCGAAATGAAACGAATCTTACCAAAGGGAATCACATACTCTCTACCCGAAAAGCTCAATACATAGTTTCTTGACGTGCTGTCATCATATGATTGGCACGTGAGATTTCCGACTTCGCTAACTCCATAATCAACTTCGCTTAATAACTGAAACGCCACTCGATCGCCAGCTAAGATCATACGAGTGTTTGGAATCCCTTGAGCTAGAACACTCCCATCCCTTTTAGAAGCCAAATAAAAGCTCCCATCGTAAAATCTTTGTAACAGCCCGCATTTTCATAAGCATTTATATATGATTATATTGAATATATAGTAAATATGAATACAAGTGCATTTCATGAATCGAGTAGTAAGTTATACATTCTCTATGTGTTTATGTAATTTAGATACATTATAGTATTTTTAGAAGTAGACATCATTGTTTTATTAATTGAGTAGTTGATTCTAATTATGTGATTAAATGAATCAAGTGACCATCTATGTAACTCATGCTAATTGGGATTGTATATGTGCATATATATTTTATGCTAATATATAATATATGATGTGGACATAATAATGTATGTCATATTATGTGAATGTGTATGTTTATGATATGATATGTGCTAGGATTTATTTATGTGTGTATATATGTATGTATGTTATATGTGCATATTTAATTGATGTATATGTATGTGACATACATGACATAGAACCTCTCTCTCTCTCTCGGTTTGAGCATAGGAAATGCCACACCATTTATCTTTTTATTATTTTAATATTATTTATGTATATATATATATATGTATATATGTATGTATAGGTGTTGTGTGTGCATGTGCTTTATGTTATGTGAAAGTGCCGTGTGTATAAGTTGAGTGTGTTGGGTTGATGATGAGTTTCCAAGTGTCCAAGTCTTCCTAATTGCTACCTACACCCTCTTGTTTACAATATTGCAAGTAAGTCCCTCTACTCTCCTATAAATAGCCTCTTCATCTTCACAATTTTCAGCACACAAACATCAGCCAAAATCCCTCATTCTCTCCTCTTTATCTCGTCCAAACACTCCCCAAATGGAAGAATTGCTCTTCCACTTCAAAAGCCTTGAAGATCCTCCATAAAAGTCTCTATTTTTCTCTTCTAAAATCACCCCAAAATGCCTCTTTCTCCCTAGTTTCGGGATTCTTCTAATACCTTCAAAGAAACAGCCATATAATCTCTGAAAACTCAGCTCCAAAATTCTCCAATACCATCCATGTCAAGCCCAATGATTTTCAAGCCGAAACTCCATGGATCCTTGGTTTTCTTTCTCTCGTAATCTTCGATTATCATGGGTAAGGACCTCTTGGTCTTTACTGAATTAAAATCATATAATAAAATAGTCTTTATAATGTTTTATATGCTATATGTTTAAGGTTTTATCTATAGAAGCATAAAAGCTATAAATCTAGAATCTAGATACAAAACACTAATGGATTTTCAGATCTTCAGCCTCGGGGTTTACTGCATGTTTCATAATTGATCGGTTTTGTAAAATGCACGAAATTTCATGGGTACCTATATCTTTTTGTTCTCTTTAAATTGATATATTTTAATCATCAATCGGATTTCGGATGATTAAGATATTAATGATTTACTAAACCTGCACAGTTTGTGAGTCAGCTGAGGATTTGCTTTTAAAATCGATGTTTTCCTAGTTTGATTTCCTTGATTCTACTTGGAATATATTTATAACTTATAAAACCAGTTTCTGCAAATTCTTACATTAGTTTAACAAAAGGGTGATTTATTGGGTATTTTCAAAGTGGTTGGTTCTGTTACTAAAAGTGTGGCCACACTCCTGCACTGTTTTACTCATTTTTCTTAGTCTACTAGTTATTTTGGAAAACTGTTTTAAAGCAGTCTTTTACACTCATACTGAAGTATTGTGTCAAAGTTTCAGAGGTTTTGAAGTTATGGTCTAAGAAAAATGTATTTTTGAAGTTAAAGTGTGAAAACTGTCCGATTTTCCTATGAGTAAACTACTTGAATCAAAACGTCCTTTGTGAGCATGGTTTAAACTCTTGAGGCATAACTTAACATACTAGTTGAACATAGATGAAGTTTCCCATGAGTATTGAGCTACATCTTAGAAATATTCTTAGACTAATCTATGATTAGAACAATAAGTTGTTCTTTGAACTTACTATGTGCTAGTACTTATACTCAATTAGATTTCCCGATGATTCTTTAAATAAGAAGCGTTGAATTTAATTATGTGTATTTGAATTATGTGATTTACTCTTGTGAGGTATAACTATGTATATGTATAAGTATATTTATATGCATATCGATAGTTTAGACCTATGATGTTATGGGCGTACTCCCTTCGGGTTGAGGAAACTTATAATCCATAGTTATAAATTAGAGTATATACGTATAGGTATAAGTATATATATATGTATAAGTACCTATGTGTATATACGTGTACAAGTATATGTGTTTTTATTACTAATGTTTGATCTATATGTGCTTACTATATCCTCGGAAATTACTTCCGAATTATGTGATTTAATTCCTTCGAATTATGTGAATGATATAATTGGAATTATTATCATGTTGCTATTAAGATCTTTGACTTACGTGCATTCATCGAGTCATTAATTGGTATTGCATGGTATACTATAGAAAGGTCAAAATTGTAACGTTGCTACGGTTCAATAGACACGGGATACGGGGGGCCTGTATCCCAACAACAATTACTATAGAACTATAGGGTGGTTAGCTCCCACTCAATGACCGGGCTCAACATATAAACGTCTATTGCCGATGCTTACGTTAGGGTTTTGATGGAGATCCCAACACGTGCATACTTGCGTACGAAAGATTTTGAAAGAAAAATGGTTTTAAAAAGGTGTTTTCATTCTAAAAAGGGGAACTTTGTTGAAAGGGATATTTTTTTCCAAGACGAGTTCCGACATGAACTAAGAAGTGATTTCTAAAGGAAAACGAATCCCCACATGATTTTCAAAATGAATTTCAAATGGCCTTCAAAAGCCAAACCAGACTTTTATTATGTGCTCAGATGTGAAATTATATGTTTAAGTATTTGTGGCGTGATTATATGTTGTGATTTACGTTGAAGAAAAATATGATATAATATAATAACTACATAAAATCCTTAGACGAAAGAGAACATAGACAGGGACTTTAGGATTTCCATAGGTCGTGAGTGACACGTTGAGAGAGGCGTGAGTTTCGTCAGGCCAATGTTCTTACTGAGCCAGTGGTTGGGCTCATGCTTTTATTTATATTCCCTTTTCAGGTTCTTGAAACAACTAGGAGGCCGGCGGAGGGGAGTTCGAGGAATTGCTAGTCTTGGTGTCTTGACTGTTTTACCCGGATTTTTACCACGTCAACGATTTCTAAAATATCTAGCCAACATATAAATTTGTGTACTCTGATTTGGGAACCTAGTCTATTAAACGGGAGTATCTTAAATAAAGTTTATTTTCCTCTCGCTGTCTTATGAATGTTTTCCAACAAATTAGCCACCTCAGAATTACCAAACAATTTCATCTTCTCAGCCAAATCCTCCAAACAATTCCTTCCACAAATCCAATAAAAACCAGCCGAAAACTTCTTATAATCGATCCGTGGGGCCCGCATCCTCTTATCAATCATCTTTTCCAAATACCTAAAACTCTCATTCAATCTCCCCTGCCTTACAAGCCCCCCCACGAGAACCGTGTACGAGTTCTCGTCCGGACAAAACCCTCTCCTCTTCATCTCCTCCCAAACCGCAAACCCCATTTCGCAATCTCTTGCGACAAAGTACGATTTCATGATCATGTTGTAAGTGTGGACCGAAGCACCATCTTCTTGTATATCTTCACCGCTTCGTCGGGCATTCTTCTATTCACCATCAGCTTGATCAATGCATTGTACAATCGGCCATCGGGCTGGCAATTTTTCTCCTTCATTTTTGTTTAATAACCGATAAACTATATCCATCTTTTTTTGATTCGCAAAACCAGTCATCAAACATGTGTACATCGCAGCATCAGGCCCACATCCAGAATCAACCATCTCGTCAAAATAGTCTATAGCTTCTTTTAAGTGGCCGTGTTTGCATATATTCTTGATTAATACAGAATAACTCCTAACAGTAGGAAGTGGGCCCTTACATTTCATTACCTCGAACAACTTGATTGCATCAGATCTTGTATGGCTCCTCAACAGCCCTTCGAGCATTATATTGTGGGCTACGATATCGGGTTTAAACCCTTTATCGATCATTTCATTCCACATTCTAGCGGCTTCCATTAAATTCTTGACCATGCACCAACCGTTGATCAAGATTGTGTACGTTTTTAGATTTGGGGCGAATTTGTGCTCCAATTTCTCGAACAACGTTTGAGCTTCTTTTGCGAGCTTGGCCCTACCCAATGCATCGAGCAAACAATTAACGGTCTCTATTCCAACCTTGAAATTATATTTCTTCATCAAATTGACAATGGCAACTGCCTTTTTCCTCTCCTTTGCAGCGGCGAAGACTTTGATGCACATGGTGAAGGTCTCCATCGTTAGCAAACCCTTCTCTCCCATTTCTTCGAGGAGAGAAACCAATGTCTCGAATTGTCTGGTCTTTCCAAGAATGTTCATCATTGTATTGTAAGTGGTCGAATCATGAGAGAATCCAGGTCTATCTCCAGCCAAACAGAAGAACCGAAATGCGGGTTTTCGAGCATGATTGAATCTCTGCAGCACACACAACACAAATTTATGATTCAGATTGATCCCACATTTGTCTAAAACGGCCTATATGTTCCTATCTAGAGCAAACATTTCGTCGATCACCTTGCATACTCTTTCCACCTCCTTCAAATCCGCCTCGAATTCGGCAGAAGCTGATTCATTTTCGATGTCGCTCTCGAATTCGGAATCGGTATGCACCGAATTGACATCGCTACAAAAGGGCCTAATTTTATTCAAGCAAAGTGGAGGATTTTGGTGTGGGATTATTGCCGGCAAGCATTTTTTAAGGGAGAGTTAAGAGGGGTATGGCAGTACAAATGGAATTTGACAACGAGTATGATTGGTGCTACTACGAGTAAAAGAATTAAGTAGAAAATACATGGGCAGAGAGCTACCGTCAACTTTCTCTCTTTGAACTCCTCGCCCTCGTAACGGCGTGTCTTGTCCATGGACGGGAGAGTGTAATCCTGCGGCGAAGAGTGACGGTCGGCCGCCATATCCGGCGAGGAATTTGTGAACCTGTGTGGATGCGGAGAGCGGCGATTTTCTTGAATTTCTTAAATGAAAAGGCATTGGGTACCCACTAAACAGGATGAGAGAGGAATGTAGTGGTTGAAGTATCGATCGTAGAGGATTTCTGAGCTTGCAGATTTGGTGGCTGGTTGCAGTTTTGCAACTCACGGGTGAAGAAGATGAAGAAAAATTGGCGATTTATTGGGCTTTGTTTTGTTAAAGTAAATTGGGTCTAAATGAGATTTGGTTTTATGTAATTGTTAATTGGGCCTGTTTCTTACGAATGGTAAAATAATAGTTTTGGTCATGGCATGCCTAGGACAATTGTTTCTGATCGTGATGCTAAGTTCTTGGGTTACTTTTGGAAGACCTTGTTGTGTAAGCTAGGAGCAAAATTATTATTTTCTACTACTTGTCACCCACAAACCGATGGTCAAACTAAAGTAGTAAATACGAGTTTGTCTGCCTTGTTGAGGGCTATTATCAAGAAAAATATTAAAACACGGTAAGAGTGTTTACCACATGTTGAGTTTGCATATAATCGAGCTGTTCATTCTGCTACTAAGTTTTCACCGTTTGAAATTGTTTATGGTTTTAATCTTTGAACTCCAATGGATTTAACTCCACTACCTTTATCTGAGCGTGTTAACTTGGATGGAAAGAATAAAGCTGAACTTGTGTAGCAGATTCATTAAAAATCAAGGCCCAATATGGAGAGGAGAACAGAACAATATGCAAAGCAAGCGAACAAGGGACGTCGCAAGTTGGTTTTTGAACCTGGAGATTGGGTTTGGCTGCACATTAGAAAAGAACGATTTCCAGTAAAAAAGGCGTTCTCAGTTGATGCCGAGAGGAGATGGTCCTTTTCAAGTTCTCGAGCGAGTGAATGATAATGCGTATAAGCTGGACTTGCCATGTAACTATAATATTAGTACAACCTTCAATGTTGCTGATTTGAGTTATTTTGACGTAGGTGATGATTTGAGGACAAATCCTTTTCAAGAGGTGGGGAAGGATGGAGGTCTCACCAACAGCTGGCAAGATGATCCAATCCAAGTCCCAACCGGACCAGTAACGAGGAGTCGAGCTAAGCAGTTCAAGGAGAAGCTTGCTGCATTGATCCAAAATGTCTTAACTAAGAAAGCTTCTTTCAATGGTGATAAAAAAGGCTGGATTATGCATATTCAAGTGGCGGATTCACCGGACAAGTGTGGGAACCATCCGGGCTAAAGATCAGTCCAAGTTGAGCAAGCAGGATGAAGACCAAAGCCGAGCCTACCTTAAATTTGTGGGTTCATCTCTAATCAGTTCATATTAGTGTGTTTATGGGCCTATTCTATTAAGGCCCTCTTTAATTACGTGGCTCACTTGTTTAGAGCCTTTATTAAGTAGAATTAGGGTTTTATTTTCCATTCTTGAAGACTAAGTTTTGGGGGCTATATATATGCCTTCTTATTAATTGTGAAAGATAGCTTTTGATCATTAATTAAATTGTGAGATTATTCTCTCTAGTTTTTTAAGAACTCTTCAAACATATCGGAGGATTCCGTACGTTCACCTGACTTATCAATCAATCTTCCACAATTGATTGTGGCGTCTTCACATACCAAGGTTCTTGTCTCTTTATAGTCAACGGGTCGCGGTTCCACCCCCTTTTGATTCCTTCTTTTGGACGGTCCAGGAGTTGATAACCAAAGTATTGTTATCGGGTCTCGTCACATGGTTGGCGTGGTTCATATCAACTCCACTGTATCTTTTTTATCTAGTGTTTTAGCTGTTGTTTGTTGATGCGTATTAAAGTCCTAGTGTTGTAATTCGTGTTTTTAAGAACGTTGTTGCGAATGCACTTTTGCGAATGTTCTTTTACATGTACGTTTGAGCATGTCCATTTGAGCGAGTGTGTTTGTGCATGATTGTTGATTCGTATTATTGTCCTAGGATTATAGTTTGTGTTTTCATGATTCTTTTCCGAATGCACTTTTGCGTGAGTACTTTGGTGCATGCTTTTGTACTTTTACTTATGTGCGTATCTTTTCTAGCGAGTGTTTTTGTGCATGTTTCTTGATGCGCATCCATGTCCTTGAACTGTAGTACGTATTTTCATGATCGCTTTTGGAATCCAATTTTGACCATGTTCGAATCTGAATTTGGAAATTTAACGTTAGACAGGAATTGTAGCCAGCTAAAATAGCTTTTTAACGCCGCCGGAACCAGTTGATTCGAAGTCCAGATGAGAAAGTTATGCTCGACTTCGTGGACACTACCAAAGATGTTGAGGGATCCTCTCTTCTAATTTGATTTTATTTTCCTAATTGCAACTCTTTTGTTACTCTTTGATCATTTTTTCTTCATGGACACCTAATTTTGGATTTGTACCTATAAGATGCCAAATCCACCAATTAAAACAAAAATATAAATTGATCAAAAAAAAAATCCACGTGAACATAAACGTAGAGTGTTATTTCTACACTCCACTGTATCTTTTTTATCTAGTGTTTTTATTGTTGTTTGTAGATGCGTATTAAAGTCGTAGTGTTGTAGTTCGTGGTTTTAAGAATGTTGTTGCGAATGCACATTTGCGCATGTTTTTGTACATATACGTTTGTGCATGTCAATTTGAGAGAGTGTGTTTATCCATGTTTGTTGATTTGTATTAGTGCCCTAGGATTGTAGTTTGTGTTTTCATGATCCCTTTTGCGAATGGACTTTTGCGTGAGTACTTTTGTGCCTGCTTTTGTATTTTTACGTATGTGCGTATTGTAACACCCCACATTTTCGAAACCCTAAATCCCTAACCAAAGTTCCATAACCCAAAAATTCTCACGTAGGAATTATTATGAATTTATTTACCTTACTAACTTTAATTTTTAAGTTCTTTATTTGCTTAGATTAATAATCCTTATATGCTGATTGGATTATATGCCTTATGTGCTAGGAATTCATTGAATAATTATGTGTCAGTTTTATTTCGATAATTATGTGCTTAAGTAGATTAATTATTGATAATTGTGTGCTAGATTCAATTATGTGACTTATGTGTATAAGTAATTTTTTTATATGATTTCATGACTTAATCATAATTTCATGCATGATACATGCATATATACGTACATCTATGCATACACGTATGCATATGCTATATAAGCTATGTTGCTCTAGGTATATGTATTTATATATGTATGTGTTCGGTTTATGTGAGTAAGAGAGAGAGAGATTAGTGATTTTTTTATTACAAAATAAAATCAGAAAAGATGCATTCTTGTCCACATGTCAATGTGTGATGATTTACACTAATCCAACACTCAATGTGGATTAGTCATCCCAAGAGACACCCTTCCTTCTTCTTTTCTCTCCACCTCACTCTACACTTGTCTTCTCTTCACCATCACCACCGAAGCACCACCTCCTCCATCGGCCAACACCTCAAAATTCTTCAAAAAAAAAACTAGAGAAATCAAAATGCAAATCCCCTATATAAGCTTCACCCTTGAATATGCTAGGAACACCATCAAAAACACTTGCCCTCTTACGGGAGATTTAAACTCCTCCCAACTTGATATCAAAGCTCTTACCTTCTCCATTCAACTAGCTTGGTTGAATCTTGGAGCCACTTCTTGAAGGAGGTAACATTGTATCCTTGTGTTCTTCATTTTCTTCATCCTTCTTTTCTTTCTCTAAAAACCCTCTTTTCTTTTGAAGGTATTTTTCTTTCTTCGGCCAACACTCTTTGATAGGTAAGAAATCTCAAATTTCTTGCTGCAATCGAAGGGTATCATAGTATGGAAAAGGAGTTTTGAAACTACCTAAAAGATTTCTTCACTTTTCGAAAAAAAAAAATTAGGGCTTTTTGTGTAAAATCCGAAATCTTGTGCTAATCTTGGCATTTGTGTTCTTGCATGTCTAATCCATGTTATAATCTGTGAATCTAAGCATTTTGTGTTTAAAGGTTTAATATTTCAAATTTTTGGGAATTTTGGAAAAAGAAAATGAGTTTTCAAGATTTTTGGGGTTGCATGTGTAGATCTATGAATCTATAGGACTAATCTGCAATTTCTTAAAATTTTGGCATGAAACATGTTTTCATCTTTAAAATCTCAGTAGGAGTAAGTGGAATTTGATTATTTGCTATTTGGCTTTAGATTTGGATTAATATTTGTTGGGAAAATCATTTTTGGCTTCAACACTACTTGCCGAGTATTTTAATTTTAATAAATCCGATTTTTGAGGAAACTGCAAAATTCTTTTTGCATATGTTCATTTAGTCAGTTAGGCAGCCTATAATTAAATTTGAGAATTTTCTATTTGATATTATTTCGAAATATTGCTTGTGCATGTGTCATAAATGGAACTTTTGTGTTTTAATCATTATACGTTGTGTATTAATTGTGAGAATGTGAATTGATGGTTAAAAATAAGCAGCTGAACTATGTTAAGGGGCTGTAAGAATTTTAATTCATTAAATGAATAAAAGTGGGAGAAATCCCTTAAATGAAAAGATAGAAATGTTGGTGCTTTAAAGGCATGGTTTGCTAATGTAATGCTAATTAAAGTATGTTTTGGGGCTGCATGTTATGTGTATGTGTGTGTGCTGTGTGTGTGTTTTTTATATAAATATAAAATATGATAATAATGTGAATTATGTGCTATATTGAAGTGGTTATATATATGTGATTGCCGTGTGCATATGTGTATTATGTGGATAATTTGATTTATTTGTAAGCTCGTTGATTGATATTTGTGATGTCGTAAAGTTGTCATTTTTTTTAGAGTCTCATTCGTCTCATGGTCTTGTATAAAAGAGATTTCATTTTTACAAAAGGAAAGGTTAATGGAATGCTTGGGTTGGATAAGTCGGGATACGGGGGGCCGGTATCCCAACCATAGTTACTATAGATAAAGGGGTGGTTTGATTCCACCAGAAGAACGGGCTCAGAATAATATGCTTATCATCCAAGTAAAGAAGTTAATTTTTCACGGATCCGAA